AGTTCAAATTTCAGCAATTTTTAATGGGGATTTTTCCAAACATCTGAAAACGGCAAAACGTGGACTGATAGTGATAACGCATGGTAGTATATAAAATCCTCAAACAACTGTAATTAAATTAAAGGGGGATCAATATTTATTGCATAGTGTAGGAATTAGCGAATATTTTATTGTGCGAGTGACCGATATATGTCAATTTCGAATCCAATATTTTAGTTCTTAATTCTCTCCTTCGGGAGGTATAATAATATGGGGGGAGACGACTAAAAGCTGGCCGATATATGTCATTGTCGTCAGGTTTGAGTTTTTTTAACACGATATTCTTAGAAATTAATGGTTACAACCGATGGCCAAATCGTCTTAGAATTCCATACTTTGTAAGGTAAAAATTGACTATTTCGAGTAATGACTATCCTCTATACAATGGTAGAATGTTTTCCTGTGGCGAATATTTACGCCATATAATAAAAATTTGCTCACATAAACAGCCGTTCTATGTACTTGGTCAGATCCCCTTCACTGTGTAAAATATGTGATGTTCTGCATATAATAATGGCTTTTAGATCTACTAGAAAATAAACAAACATAAAGTTTTCGGTTCCTTGACCCTCTAAATGTCACTCAAAATTATAGGCGTCGTTTTTGAGCAAAAGCGGGGTAATAGTACTACTAAACAATATAATAATACGTAGATCCCTGTAAGTATATAAGTATAACTCCTATATCCGGGTATATACAACAATAGAATTTGTATCAATTTAAAGGTCAACCACCCTGGATATACTATCAATTTCTCGGGTTTATGTCCATCAGTAGTAAATATATACGCTCCAGAATAGAAATTTTGTCATTTTTCACACGAAAGTCTGTGTCCATTTGACCCACTAAATATTGACCAATCTTCATCAAAGCTGTCATGTTTATTCTATGGCCAGGCCCTTCGCTCTTTGGACAATTTCTTGGTGTTCGAGTTATAATTGTGGCCTTTAAAGCGACCAGAAAAACAGACAAAAATAAAGTTTTTGGTCCATTTTGTTTTTGCAAAATAGTCAGGCTGAATCCCAGTTTGTTGTTTTTATAAAAAAACATTTATTTATTAGTGGGGAATGTATGTACTGATCCTCATCAGTTCCCTTAGTTATACCCTTCACCACTCTGTGGTACAGGGTATTATGTCTTTGTGCAGGCAAAAGGAATCGAGATAGACCCACGGTTCCTTTTGAGAATATGCATAGAATCACTTTCTGAGTCGATTTATGCATGTCCGTCCGTCCGTCTGTAGATGTTAAATTGTAAACAAAGTACAGGTCGCATTTATGATCCGATTTGGATCAAATTTGGCACAAGTCACTTATTCGGCCCAAGGACGAACCCTATTGAAATTGGGAAAAATCGGTTCAGATTTAGATATAGCTCCCATATATATATTTAACCGATTTAATGTAAACGGTCCCTATATATCTTTCGATTTGCACGAAATTTGGTACAGCCTAATCATTTAGGTCTAGAATGATGTCTGCCAAGTTTCATGAAAATCGGTCCAGATTTAGATATAGCTCCCATATATAGTTTCGTCCGATTTCATGTAAATGGTGCACCAAAGTCTCTATATATCCTTCGATTTGCACTAAATTAGGTATAACGTACTTAATTTGAGCCTAGAATGATGTCTGCCAAGTTTCGAGAAAATCGGTCCAGATTTAGATATAGCTCCCATATATAGTTTCGTCCGATTTCATGTAAATGGTGCCCCAAAGTCCCTATATATCATTCGATTGGCACGAAATTTGGCATAACGTACTGAATTGATCCTAGAATGATGTCTGCCATGTTTCAAGAAAATCGGTCCAGATTTAGATATAGCTCCCATATATAGTTTCGTCCGATTTCATGTAAATGGTGCCCCAGAGTCCCTATATATCTTTCGATTTGCACGAAATTTGGCATAACGTACTGAATTGGGCCTAGAATGATGTCTGCCAAGTTTCATGAAAATCGGTCCAGATGTAGATATAGCTTCCATATATAGTTTCGTCCGATTTCATGTAAATGGTGCACCAAAGTCTCTATATATCCTTCGATTTGCACTAAATTAGGTATAACGTACTGAATTGAGCCTAGAATGATGTCTGCCAAGTTTCGAGAAAATCGGTCCAGATTTAGATATAGCTCCCATATATAGTTTCGTCCGATTTCATGTAAATGGTGCACCAAAGTCTCTATATATCCTTCGATTTGCACTAAATTTGGCATAACGTACTGAATTGAGTCTAGAATGATATCTGCCAAGTTTCGAGAAAATCGGTCCAGATTTAGATATAGCTCCCATATATAGTTTCGTCCGATTTCATGTAAATGGTGCCCCAAAGTCCCTATATATCATTCGATTTGCACGAAATTTGGCATAACGTACTGAATTGATCCTAGAAAGATGTCTGCCATATTTCAAGAAAATCGGTCCAGATTTAGATATAGCTCCCATATATAGTTTCGTCCGATTTCATGTAAATGGTGCCCCAAAGTCCCTATATATCTTTCGATTTGCACAAAATTTGACATAACGTACTGAATTGAGCCTAGAATGATGTCTGCCAAGTTTCGAGAAAATCGGTCCAGATTTTGATATAGCTCCCATGTATAGTTTCGTCCGATTTCATGTAATGGGTGCACCAAAGTCCCCATATATCCTTCGATTTGCACGAAATTTGGCATAACGATAATGATTTAGATATAGCTCCCTTTTATTATAGATTGATTTTAAGTAATTGACGCGACAAGGAACCATATACCCATAGTGGTGAAGGGTATCATATAGTCGGCCCCGTCCGACTTTACTACTTTCCTTACTGGTTTTTTGTTGGGATATTCTCCCCAGAAGCTATTGCTTCTAAACAAAAACCCGTTCATACCCAAATGTCTCTTGTAACAAAGCGAAGTACTTAGCTGACCAACGACATAAACTGTATGAGAATTTCGCTGGAGCCTCACTTCGAGGTTAACAAGGCATTTACAAACAATTCCATACCTTTCCCACTGTTGTGTGTTGTCACATCACGACAAATGCACACAACGACTTTGTTGGTGTTGCTAGTATACAGCAACAAACCAAACAGTTTAACCGTGCCTGCGTCTACAACTTCAGTAGTGTTGGCGGTTTATTTGGGATACCATTTGTATTTTGTTTTTGCAAAATAGTCAGGCTGAATCCCAGTTTGTTGTTTTTATAAAAACAACTAGCCAGCTCCTCGCAGTGGGAAAAGTATGGAATTGTTTGTAAATGCCTTGTTAACCTCGAAGTGAGGCTCCAGCGAAATTCTCACACAAACCCGAATACCAACCAGCTGATTAGTTACGAGCCGACATCACTTAACCACCGCCGAGCCGACTGTAACCAGCCGACTATTAACGATCCGACGTCCACACCCAGCTACCATTACCAATTAGAAGATTCCAACATAAAGGCTTATCTCACATCCAGACTATTATTCATATTGTGAACACCGAAGTATTATAATAAAGATTGAAATTGTAATCACTCGTGCTTTTACTTAAGGTTTGTGGGTCCTTGGGTTGACCCTGGCAGCGACTGAGCTTACTTCAGCCTTAGTTAAAACCACTCGTTATAAGTCTTCCAACAAATTGCCAACATAATTGAAACAAAATCATGTATTTTTTCTAAAATGTTTACCTTTATTTTATAATTGTTGTTTATTTCATAGATATAAAAATAATTTAATAATTTATTATTGTATATAAAATATAAAACTATATATTTCTAGTATATAATAAGAAAAGCATTTGCTAATTGACTACAAAGGAAAATAATATTTTTTTATTTTTGTCTATATAAAAAATGTTTATAATTGTATAAAGTGAATAATATTTTATTTAAATACTAACTTATACCCAAAATAAATTTATATAAATACTATTTTTTATACAAAATGAAAAAAAAATTATCTATATTATTTATTTAAATAAATTCTTCTATTTTTTTTTAATTTTTACCTTTATTAAAATACAAACCAATCTCTAAACATGTAAAATCTCTAAAGGAATACTTCTCAGGGTTTTTACTATTTTTTTAACTCTATGGTTTTTGACTTGGATATATTAAAAATAAAAAACAAAATATTTGTTACAATTTGCTATTTTTTTATGAGAAATATTTTCAAAATATATTTTTTAAAATTTCTAAAGGAATACTTAAAAGAGAACTGAAAAAAGGATACAACTTTTTTTTTTCAATTTTCAATAAGATTTTATAATTTGTTTACAAAATTAGAATTTTTTATAAATAATTTTTAATAGAAAAAATTTAATTTTTTTTTTTTGGCCACATTGGTTGGAAAATGCGGCTAGGATTAAAAAAATCAAAAAATGGGCGGAACCCTTTATATAGCTGATATTTCCAAATATGGACCTATATTTCCAATTTTCAAAAGGGGTTATTTTACCTTCAGAGGCCCTACAATATCAAATTACAGCCAATTCTGTTCAAAAATGCCTTCAAAATATCTAAAATAAGACTGTACCCCTATAGGAGGGCTGTGACAAAGCATGGAACCAAATTAGCTTTGAAACAGATATATTAGTTTTTTCGAGGAGGTCTGAGAACCCAAAATGCCCGTTGGGATCCTAAAAAACCGCTAATATGGAGGCTATTAAAAAAATATGGTCGGATATAGAGGGTATAAATGTAAATACAGAGGGTCACTTTGGTTGAAAAATGTTACTAGGACTCTCAAAAACACCTAAAATTGGGCGGAATCTTTATATAGAATCTATTAAGTAATATGGTCGGATATTGGGGGTATATAAAATATATATAAAAAATGTCCTTTACAATTTTTTTCTAATATTTCCAAGCCAATTGATCCATTTTTTGGTCCCTCTTGGGCCCCTATTGCCTCTGGGATCCCATTGGGATCCTATTTTTTCTATGTTGATTTTTCTACCAATTTAAATTTTTTCTATCCTTGCTTCTCTTAAAAATCTCCTTAAATTCTCTGTGTCAAATCCAATGCTGCAGCTCCCAATTTTGTTAGCTTCTTGGGTACCTCATCCTCCCCCACCATCTTCTTATCCTCCACTGGCAACTCCCTTTTCAAATTCGACTTCTCCTTATCCCTGCTTTTCTTAATTTCTTCCGAATTTTTCCAATTTTCCGTTTCCACGTCCGACGAAGATGATGAGGAATCACATTTATTATTATTGCCCAGACTTGACCTGACCACATTTATGCTACTTCGACTACTATCACTCACGGTGCTGGTGACCGAACTTATTGCCTTCATACTCAAATCGATGGGATTGTCTTGAGAGGTGGGTTCGCCACTGGATTTTTCCTCAACACCTGCACCACCACTACTACTCGGTGGACAATCATCATCAACCTCCAGGGGTGAGAATGGGGTGGTGTCATTGAGACCACTAAATCTTCATCCTCAGTTTCCTCTCCAGCTGCTGGATTGTGAGGACTTTCATCACTGTGGCCATTTGAGGGTTTCTCTTGAGACTCATTATTCTCCTCTCGGTGTTCCGCCTCTTCTCCTTCCTCATCTTGATTACTTTGACGCGAGTGATTATGTTGGGCCCTACCACTTTCCGAATTGGGCGTGACGAGGGCACTAATTGAATGATCATGTTTTGTGAGGTTAGGTAATTTGGTTGCATGTGGTGGAGGACTTTGGGCCTGTTGTGACTTCAATACCGCATCAAGATAAAATCGCTTCGTAAGCTCTTCGGCTGCCTTACTACCATTTGGTATGTGATTATTATTCAAAGTATCCGAACGTGGACTTTCCGATTTATCTTCTGGAGCTTTGTGATGATTTTCCGGGATGGCTAGGGGACTATGAAACCGAGGAGAATTTTGAAATAATTGATGCATTGCGGCGGCGGCCGCCTGCTGCTCGGGAGAAGGTTTCAAAAGCCCCGCATGGGCATGTTGATACAGTGCAGGATGGTAGCCAGGGAAAAGTAGATGAGATGGAGGTAGAAAACTAGGTGGTGGCATGACCGGCATTGATGAGAGGGCGGGAAATGTTAAAGGCAAGAAGGGTGGCAAATCTTTTCTTAGGGGATGAGGGGCAGCAGGAACATTGTTGCTGGTGGTTGTGGTGGTGGAGGGTGAAATTGAGGAGGCTTCGCTCAGTGAATGTTTGCCGGATAGATGTAAGAGACCAGAACTACCCGCTGCTGCCGCCACTCGGCCATTAACCTCCACGGAGTTGTCGGAATGATGAGAATCCGGCGAACTCACTGAGGGCGAGGTTACCGGATGTTTGGCATATTCTTCAAGGCTCAGCATCATCAGTTCTTCTTTGGTTCGTGGGGGATAGAGGCCGGGATAGGCACCAGCATGACCCAACATACCTAAGGCTGCGGCTGCTGCCGCCGGTGGTGGTATACCGCCACCAATGCGACCAGCCAATAAACCCGGATGATGCGATGGGGCTCCTGGGTGTTGTGACTGTTGATGTTGCTGCTGCTGTTGTTGATTTTGCTGATGCGCCGCCATGGCTGCCGCCGCCTGTTGCTGCTGTTCCTGCAACAGACAATGAATTTTAAACCAATTCGAACGGCGTCCATAACGGGAGCCACTTTTGGACATGCCCACCATCAGACATTTGCGCAGGCGGCATGCCTTGCAGGCTGTGCGATTCTTTTTGTTGATGATGCATTCGCCGTTGTTTTTGCAATCCGAGATGGAGGATAGGTTGTTGTAGGAGCGGCCGAAAAATGACTGAAATGGAAACCAAGAAAAAGAAGAGGAAGAGAAATTAAAAAAAATATTCGTCGATAAAAAATTAAAAAAAAATCCAAGTGGATTTTTTAAAAACATGTTTTTTTTTTTTTTTTAAAAATTGTTGAACTTTGTTCGTCATGTCATTAAATTTTAAATAACCAAAACCTCTGTTAACACTAATTTATAAAAGCCAGCTAATATTTGACAGGGCCTTTTGGAGATTCGAAAATTGTCTACGTAGGTGTCTGTTGGTGGTTTCGGATTTCAAATGTGGATCTGGTTTGGGTGTAGGTTTCTCTGTGGCTTGCTTAACCGTTTTGTTTATTTGTCTGGCAACATATCCGCTATTTATCTGTCTGCTTGACTACCCTCTCCCTTCCCATTCCGTCCACATTTTGTTGCTGTGTCTGTCTCTCTGTGTACCTTTATTTTTGAGTCATTTAACGATTTATGTTGTGGCCCACAGTAATTTGCTGCTTTAAAGTGATTAATTTGTCAACAAAAATTAAAATTAATTTATATCGTGATTTTGTAAAAAAAAAACTGACTTGATATTTATGAGTTCACAATTTTGACATTCAATATTTTGTTGTTGTGATTTGTTATTTGGTTTTATTTAAATGTCAGTGGGAAGGTGGAATTGCATTTACAAAAAAAGTATGGTAATCAATATGTGTAGGGGAAAGGGGGGCACCTTTGAACGTGGGGCACCTTTGAAGAGGAGTGGTTGACCTTTAACAAGGCTTGGATTTTCTAAAAAATATTTTTCTGGACATGGATTTTTTCTACGACCTAAACAAGGCATAGAAATGCTTTTAAAGAATAATTGTAACGAGCATCTACAAAGCGTATATTTTTTTCCGATTCTCTATAAAGCTTGGATCATTAAAGAATCATTTTTCTGAAGCCTTTATACTGCCTGGATTTAAATAGTATTTTTTTTCCTGAGCCTCTAAAAAGCCTGAATTTTGAAAGAACAATTTCCCAGGCCTCTATGCCGCGAGTATTTTTAGAGATTACCATTCTCAGGCTTTTATTTATTTTTATTATTTTAATATTTATTGTTATATATATTTTTTGCCAGGCGTGGATTTTTAAAAATCTGGATCGTGGAGCGTATGAGTAACGACAAGACTCATACACCACCAATGATATATAATATGAATGTTTTTAAAGAATACTTTTACCGAGCATCTATAAAGCGTATATTTTTCCCTATACTCTATGAAGAAGAATATTTTGCTAACCTCTAAACGGCATGAATTTTAATAGAATAATTTCCCAGGCCTCTATGCCCCGAGTACTTTCAGAGATTACTACTCTCAGCCTTTTATTTATTTTTTTATTTATATTTATATTCGCAGGCCCTGTAAGGCGTGGATTTTTGAAGAGCTGGATCGTGGAGCGTGTGAGTAGCGACAACACTCATACGTCACCAATGATATATACGCATCTACAAAGCGTATATTTTTTCCGATCCTCTATAAGACGTGGATCTTTAAAGAATACCTTTTTCCGAAGCCTCTATACTCTATACTGCCTTGATTAAAAAAAGAATATCTTTCCTGAGCCTCTAAACGGCATGCATTTTAAAGAATAATTTTCCAGGCCTCTATGCCGCGAGTATTATCAGAGATTACTATTCTCTGCCTTTTTATACACCACATCACTATGTTGTCAGGGAATTATAGCTTTATGCAGGCCCAACAGTTTGTAACGCCGCAAAATATTGGCCCAGACCCACTTTTAAGTATACCGATTGTCATAGACATGTGTGTCTGTGCGACCGTCCGTCTGCCCCTTATGATTTGTAAACACGATAGAGACCACAGTTATGGATCAATCTTCACGAAATTTTGTATGTAGGATAGGTTCTGGCAAATGAAGACCCATCTTGTTTGGGATGAAATGGACCAAAAACTTTATTTTTGTCTGATTTTCTGGTCGCTTCAGAAGCTGCAATTATGGCCCAAACATCGTGAATTTTTACATGGAGAAGGGGATCAGGCCATAGAATAAGCATGCCTGTTCTGATAAAGATCGGTCAATATTTAGCGGGTCAAATGGATCCTGACTTTTGTGTGAAAAATGACAAAATTTGTATTCTAAAGCGTATATATTTGCCCCTGAAGGACATAGACCCAAAATGTTGATAGTATATCGAAGAGGAGTGGTTGACCTTTAAATCGATACCAATTACATTGTCGTATGTACCCGGATGTGGGAGTTATTATTTAGTAACCGATTACCACATAAAATTTTCCATGATGTTCCAATTATGGTCAAGGACAACGCCTATAATTTTCGATGATGATCTGATTAAAATTTTGGGATGAAGTGGACCGAAAACTTATTTTTTTGTGCGTTTTCTGGTCGAATAAAGGCGAACATCACAAGACAACCCACCGTGAAGGGAATCTAGACAAATAATTAGAAGGGCTGTACTGAATATTTGTAATATTCGGAAAATGTGAGGAAGATGTGGTGTTGACCTCTAATCGGGCAAGTTGGGGCAAATATCACGAAATATGGCCCAGGTTCGAAATAAACAACAGAGATAACAAAATTTGTATTCTATGGCATTTTTATTTACCCCCGAAGGACATACACCCGAGAAATTGATAGTATATCCAAGAGGATTGGTTGACCTTTAAACGAATACCAATTATATTGTTGTATGTACTCGGATGTGGGAGTTACACGTAAATATTTACACAGGTGTTTACGTGTTCAGATAAAATTTAGTAACCCCATACTAAAGTTCGAAAATATAGCGCTGATCGCTTTGTAATTTTCCATGAGTGTCCAGGTTTGGTCAAGGACAACGACTGTACTTTTCGGTGATGATTAGATTATAATTATGGGATGAAATGGACCGAATACTTATTTTCTGTGTTTTTTCGAGTTGATCTATAGGCCACAATTGAACATTACAACACAGCCCACGGTGAAGGAAATCTGGACAGGTAATTAGAAGGGCTATAATGAATATTAATATTTTTTTTTGACCCCTAGTCGGTCAAGAGGGTGCTAATATCGCGAAGTATTGCTCAAGCTCAGAATGTAGTACCACATAAAGTTAGATTTTCGTGGATGCTGTGTAGGATATCATATGGTAGGCCCCGTCCGACTGTACCGCTCCTCTCACTGGTTTAAAAATATTTTTCAGCGGTCCCGAACACAAAGGCCTTAATTTAAAAAAATAACAAAAATTTGTTCAATGGAATGAAATAATAAAATAACATTTTTTGAATTCTTATAGTTCTTTTTTTGAAATTTTGATCAAATTATTATGGTGTTTGGCTTCCGTGTTTTGTTTTTTTATTATATTTTTAAAAATTTTCAAAAGAAATTAAATTTCTATTCTTACTTTAAATAACAGACCGTTAGAAGCTCCCGCCAATTATGGCATAATAACCCCCGGTATTGTTCTATATAACTGTTATACAATGATCAACAATAGCAAAAAAAAAAAAAATCTGGAGCTATACAATGGCTAATATAAATCAATTTAAGTACATTATTGTTGAAAAGAATTCAGAATTTGTTATTTTAATTTCTAGCTCCTATTGTTGTTGTTGTCATCGTGATACATTAACTGGTCACACACAAAAGCAAACAAACAACCCCGAAAAGTTGACATAAATAAATAAATTTTTATTAATAATTTGCACAAAAATGTTGTATCTTAATTTGGCACTTTGTTATGTTCGCCGTGCTACAGTTTTCTGAATCGAGTTCGAAAACAAGAAAAAAAAAATTAAAATGTATTTTTTGTGTTGTGCTATAAATTTAACACCGTCCGCAAACAGAAACAAAAAATTAAAATTAATAAAATATGATTTTAATTAAGATTTAAAATTTTAAGAAAACGGTATCTGTTGTTTTTTATTTTAATTTCGAACAAAACTAAGTGGCTAGCTTTTGTTTCGAAAATTATTAAGAAAATTTATTATTATTTTATTTTTAAACAAAATATATGCACAGACATGTTGGGGGCTCTTTTAGTTGCTAGTAGCTGGTCTCTTGATGTCATTGTTGTTATTCTGATTTGTTTTTATTTAATATTTTTTCGAATCCATTTTAATCAGATTTAGCAATTCAGATTATCTTCGACGAATCCATAGTGGTTCAATAAATTATTTTGATTATGGTGTTAATTTGCTTTTGGCCAATTAAATTTCATGGCAATTTTGGAGGTTAAGTTTATTTTTGTGTGTGTGTTTTATAAATATCTGTTTATCATCAAAATATTATGGCAATTTTAGTCAGAATTAAAATTAATAATTATTAAAATATAATTTTATACAAAAAAGGAAATATTTTTAGATTAAGAGCAAACGGGAATTTTGGTTTAAGAAAAAAAACTCGAAGTTAAAAACTGCTACAAAAATCGGGTCTCTGTCTTTTAGAGTTCGGAATATTTAAAATACATTTATACTACTCAAATTATATTTGGTATAATTGATTGGACATAACAATATAGGTTTCTTCACCCCCATACAAGGGCCATGCTTCATTTTCGGTAGGTTTCATTCAGACCTTGTATTAAAAAAACAAATATTCTTTATGAATCTACACTTACTGGCTCCTGAAATGTATTCTTTTTAAATTTATGCCATGTAGAGGCCTCAGAAAATTCTTCTTCTTAAATTCACGCCATAACAAACCTCAGAAATATGCTAGAGATAGGTATTCTTTAAAAAGCTATGCCGTATAGAGGCCAGATAAAATTATTGTTTAAAACCCCATACCATATAGAAGCTCAGAAAAAGATATTATTTTTAAATACACTGGAAATGTATTTTTTAAAAAGTTACGCCGTATGGAGGCCTGAGAAAATTATTGTCTAAAAACCCATGCCTTATAAAAGCTCAAAAAATATTATTTTCAAATCCACAGCGTATATAGGCTTGAGAAAAGTATTCTTTAGACATACACGTCTCATAGAGGCCGCGAAAAACTATAGACCTTTTATAGGCTCGGTAAAAGTATCC